ATGAAGTAATGAAATCACTGAATCAGGTGTGTTGGAGCAGAGAAACATCTAAAACATGCAGGATGGTGTTCCTCAAGGAACAGGGTTGGGAACCACTGTATTAGATTACACTGTGGACCTTTGCGTCACTGAAACGTGGTGATACCTGGAATTTCTCATCCAGGAGCTGGCCCATGTCTGGAAGAAGTCTGTTGACCAGAGAAAAGCCGTGGTCCTCCCACGAGTAGTCCTGAAGATCAGACACCAACGTTAAGAAGAACATCATGACTCAAATCCAGAGAAGACTCTAAACAACGCACGCTCCCAACAACCTGTGCTCTCAGGACGGGTGGCGAGTGCTCTCCTCTGGGGGCAAAGTCCTCGTATCTGAACTCTGGCTCCTCCACCAGACGCAGCACCAGGTCGGGTGGAGCTCCCCGCACCACCGCTGCACAAACACAGACGCAGAAGAGAGAAACGTCAGAGCGGAGCCGGGCGCCGCCGCAGAGAAGCAGCCACGTCTGCTGCACCTGTGGGTATGCTCTCGCTCCTCTCCCGTTCGAAGCGCGTGACCATCTCCTCCTGCGTGCACTCCTCCTCCTCCTGCTGCTGCTGCAGCTCCACCATTCTCTTCATCAGCACCTCCACCTCCACCGCTCCGTCCACCAGCTGGAGAAGATAAAAGCAATAATTTACCATAAATTTTACAGTATACATCGCAGTTTTTTTGCATAAATTTGCAAGTTCTGCAATCTTCACACCAAAGCGACTAATATACGTTTTTTTCCCCATATTTATAACTATTTTTGTCTGAGATCTGACGATTTCATTCATTCTGACATGGAAAATATTGAACACTACCATGTTCAGCCACTACAGGGCCCTTGACTAATATGGCAAGCTAAGTGTCCCATTAATAGGTAAAAGTGGCTATTAATGAGACACTTTGTTTGCCATACAGGCCAGCTTCGTCTCGCTCCGGAACTCCTAAACGTCAAATCAGCTTCATTTTGCTGCGCCGCCCAGGCGAAATGCAGCTGATTTAACCGTTAAAGTGCATTTATTAAGGAAAAGTTCAATTGAGACAAAAATTTGCTATAATGTCGAGCAAACAATTTGTTTTTAGGTGGTTACCTTGTTAAATTTTGAAAAAATGCACGAGTCCTCCCTCTGCGCACTCCTACTTCCGCGTATCGGCTTTTGAAATGCAGCCGATTTGACCGTCAAAATGCATTTACAGTATTAAGGAAAAGTTGGACTCAGACACACCTTTGCTATAATGTCGAGCAAACGAACAATTGTTTTTAAGTGTTAATCTTGTTAAATTCTTGTTAAAGTCCTCCTGCGGCTGCCACTTGGCAACCAATCGATTTTTGGCACAACACCGGCCCAAGTTTCCAGGTTATCGGCGGTGACACATAATAGATGCGACATACGGCGAAGCGACACATTTATTTTTTCCACTTTATCAGACATATTTGGACTGATGCGACCTATACGGCGGTGCGACGTGTACGGCGGCAAGTACTTTAAATAGAAACTTGTCTTTTTAAAGCGGTAAATCTGCTGGAGCAGAGCTGAAATTAATCAAACACATTCACGACAGGTGATCGAGTGACTCCGGCTCACCTCATGCCTGCCATCCTCAGGGGCCGGGCTGTGAGGGCTGCGTGGGAGGTGATTGGGTGATGGAGGCCGGAAGGTGTAACCGCCGATGTGGTCGGGTTCAGGGTTTAAACCGCACCCCCACACGAAGGAGCAGAGGGAGTGGGTGTGGGCCATCAGAATCACAGCGTGGATCAGTTCTGCCAGGGACCAGCGGGGCTCTGCTCCGGGACTCACCAACTCCTGCGGGGCAGAAGGGATGAATCAGGTTTCATACCACATCAACTTCAAGAAAATAATACAGTTTTAAACACGTTTGAACCGCGACAGACTGGCAAAGTTGTACATTTGCTCCAACAAAAGTGGTTAATTTGTTACAGGTTAGTAACCTAACAACTAAAAAAGGGGGTCACATAATAAAATGGAACAAATTTGGGATATTTTCTCATCTGCAGTACAAACTATTTGATGAAAACTTAATTCAGAATGGACGCGACTCCAACTTCATATTGAATAGATGTATTTTAGACGGAACAGCATTAAAAAAACAGATGGATTCGTTAAGTGGAAATCATTACTTTAGGCTCGGGAGATGATTCCCAGACTCCGTGTGTAAACAAATTCTTCTCCGTCACATAATTAAAGTTTAAACTCTACAGCAGGAGGAAAAGAGAACGCATTAAAATCACTGATTTTAGACGGTCTGCGGAAACCAAAGCGCATTCAGACCGACTACGTTGTCTAGGACAGAAGGGTTTGAACTTGAAAAATACTCATTTCAAAGCAGGTGAAGCATCCAAAATCCCACAATCCTTTGCATTATGTTATAGAAGCAAAACAACCGACACCCACTACAGGTGATGATGCAAACGAGGGTAACCAAACGTCTGAAACGGAATTACTGCAGATTAAAAAGGTCCATTAATGAGTAGCTTCTAAATAGGATGTGGTGAATGACTCAGAGAGGCTTCGAGCTTAGATACAAGTAAAAAAAAATATTATGCATCAGATCAATTCACTATTATCTGACAAGAGTACGAGCAAACGAGAAAGTTGAAGTGAGACAGGCAGCGAGTGGGCGGCGTGTCTGACCTGGATGTGCTGCTGCGTAATGAGCCACGGTCTGTGCGCCAGCAGCTTGTTGAGCGTCTGCAGGCTGCGGAGTTTGGTGGGAGTGTGCTCGAAGCTGCTCAGCCAGCTCTCTTCACCTCCAGCTTCCAGGAAGCCCGCGCTGTGCTGCTGCACCAGGTGTGCACAGTGGTGGCGCGCCGCAGCCTGAACGACACCAGGAAGTACAGGGTGAGGGGAGAGTTGACATTAATACACGCCAAGGGCTCAGAGGTTAAAGCAACAACGCACACGGTATCTGAAGGAGGAGGAGCAGGTGGTGGGAGGATTATAAAGAAGTAAAAGTGGTTTAATATCTCTATAAAAAGACACTCGACAAACCCGTTTGTGGGTTTGAGCGATAAAGATGTTTCCCGAGATTTCTTAGTCAAAAATACTGAATAATGAATATACAGTTTTGGTAGTTTAGTAGAACTGTTTTCAGTATTTGCAGCACAAATTATAAAATAAAAAAATAAAATAAACAGAATAAGCTCTGTGATGGGTCTACTCAGAGAACAATGGTTTTTTTTTTTATCTTTAAATGTATTCAAGTTGCTAAAATCTGGCTGAAAGAAACAGTTGAAACGTTTTGAAATAGGATCTGCACAAGGATTAAAACAACAAGTATCTTACTTGTTGCAGATGGCTCTTTGAAAACCTCAGTTTGGGGGAAAAAAGATGACTTTTATTCTGACCAGATTGATGATCTAACCTGATCGAGGCCAAAACTAAAGCGAACTGCTGTCGCCGTAAAACAACTCCAGCTCTAAAACTTCATAGTGGTTCAGTTATTTATTTTAAATATTTACCTTTGCATTGCTGTCAGTATTACTTTGCTTAAGAAGCAGCAGTAGCAGCAGCTGTAGCACTTCCAGCAGGAATATCATAATATTTCTCTCAGAATAGCTTGCAATGCAAAATGCTGCAGTGCGAAGGTGCAGCAGTTTCCACGTGACTCACCTAAACTTTTTGAGACAGGAGTCGTTTTATAAAACGGCAACAAATTACTTTGATCTTGGCTCCATTCAGACTATCCAATAACTCATCAGTCCAGTCAGAATTAAAATATTTCTCTCAGCTGAGTTTGTTCAAAGCGCTATCTACAACAGGTGAAATATTAATTGTTCAAAAGTTCTCCACAGAACCCCACTTCAAAAAAAATCTGAACTAACCCTTCAGGTAAAACCATCGCCATCACAGCTTCACCACTGATTTGTCATATGTCAATAAGTAGTTCTGGGAATTAAATTTTAAAAGACGTTTCATTAAAGACAACAGCTCCACCATCATTGCTCAGTTAAAACTACCGTACTTGCCGCCATACAAGTTGCATCAGTTCAAAAATGTCTAATAATGTGGAAAAAAACCATAAACAAGTCGTTTCGCTGTATAAGTCGCATCTATTATGCGTCACTGCTGACCACCCGGAAACGTGGGCCGGTGTTGTGCCAAAAATCAATTGGCTGCCAAATGGCGACCACGGGAGGACTTTACCAAGAATTTAACAAGATTAACACTTAAAAACAATTATTTGTTTGCTTGAAATTATAGCAAAGGTGTGTCTGAGTTTAATTTTTGCTTAATAAATGCACTTTAGTGGTCAAAACAGCTTCATTTCGCCTGGGCGCTTGTGTTCCTCAAGGCTCTGGCCGTGAGACGACCCGTTTACAAACTTTCCTTCTGCTGCTCGATTATCGTTTTGGGCTCCATATTATTTTTATTTTTATTTTGTAATCTGCAAAACAGGATTTTCTGTTTGGGGGCATTTTACTTGTGTTAAGATTTAAGTTGTCTCTGTGAACATTTGTTTGTGTGTTGTGTGTGTGTGTGTGTGTGTGTGTGTGTGTGTGTGTGTGTGTGTGGGGGGGGGGAGGGGGGTAGAAGAACAGCATATAAAAGCCTAGAGGGCCCTCTAGCAGCTACAACCTGGTAATGTTTACTGGTTCATGTCTATGAATGAGCATTTCAAAGTCAAAAATTGAAGTATAAATAGGGATGCACCGATCCACTTTTTTTTACTTCTGATCCGATCCCAATACCTAAATCTGAATATCGGCCGATACCGATCCAGTTCCGATATCATGATCATCATTGATTTTATATGAGGTTGTAATAATCTCCTCTCAAGTACAATTTGTACAAATATATGCATGCATGTCCAAAAAAGCAACTTGAGGTAAGTTGTATTAATGTTGGATAAGTTTCAAAGTTATAATTAAATTCTAACACAAAACATGTTTATTTTTATTCCTAGCTTTAAAGTGGATATTAAAGTGATTAATTTAAGTGATTGTTTAAAGTTGTTTTATATTTTTCCAAATAAGGGGCATATAAGATTTTTTTTTTATTCTTTCTGCACTCTTTTCATTCAATGTTTTCTTTTTGATGAATTTGTTATGTTTCTTTTAAATTAATGAATAAATGAATTAAATTAAATAAAATGTTAAATGGCTTCAAACATCTGCTAAGTTCATGGCATAAACCAACAGACATGTTCCTGTTTTTAGTATTTTACATCACTTTATAATGTAGCTGTTTTTGTTTCATATATATATATATATATATATATATATATATATATATATATATAAAATTTTCTTGGAATTTTCAATTCATATGCTTTTTATGATTGTCTACTGTTGTACTGATAAATATATCTTGGCTGCAAGTATCAAGCTGTGAAATCCTTCGTTTTCTACAACTGATAGTGGTTGGTCATTAATTATGATGAAGTTTAGCAACTTCTCTGTAAACATTCGAGCTCCGTGGTTTCAGCGATGTCTTCTTCTTGTTCAATCCGAAGCAGGCAGCCTGATTTGGGGCAGTCGCGCTCAGTCTGTCCCTCCTCAGAGACGGGCAGACTGGACGGGGCAGATTGGACACGGCTGGCCGGGGTCGAGTTGCATGTTGCGAGTTGAGCAAGAGTAGCGCCCCGCTGAAGTCCCCGAGCTCGAATGTCCAACGTAAAACTAACTTTACCGCGGTTTAATGTGGTGCTATGGCTCCACAGACATTGCACGTTGCCGTCTTGTTTTGTGGCGTTTCTAGTGTAAAATACTTCCACACAGCGGATAACAGTTTATCTGTTTTAAATTGTGCTCTACAAATAAAGATGACTTGACTTGACTTGACATGTTTACATGAAAAGTTGGTTAGCTGTTAGCCACAGTGCTGCTAACACAGCCCTCACGTTGTAGCTGGCTGCAAACTATGAACTGGATTTCCTGAATGTGAGGCGGGTCTTATTACTCTGTGTTCATGAGACACAAGGCCGTTCAGGAAATCCATTCCATAGTTTGAAGCCAACATGCATCATGGATCAGAAATCTCTGTAGGTTGGATCGAAAAAAATCCCGATAGGTAAATTATGCTGGTATCGGAGGCCGATACCAATACCGGATCGGTCCCATCTGTAGTTATAAATATGTGGGAAAAATGTATATTGGTCGTTTCAGTGCATACGTCGCAGGACTCTAAAAATTTATGCAAAAAGGTGCGACTTATACGCCAGAAAATACGGTAATCTTTATAAACATTATTCCCTGCAGCTGTGGTTCAGACGATAAAAGCAAAGCAAGAGGTCTCGTTTTACTGTCGGGGTCGCTACAGACCGAGCAGTTATAAAATGATGACTGGACACGAGCAGCGTGTACAGTAAACAGGGCGTTGGCTGCAGTGGAAAGACGATGACATCAGTATGAACGGAACTGAAGGACGGGCTTCTGTCTCAGGAGTCTTTTGTTATCTACCACAAAATGAATCAGAAGTTTGAAAAAAGCACAACCAGTGTGACACACGAGCAACACTATGCAAACACTTTACACTCATAAACATGTATTTTTTATACTTTATGAAGGGAACAACTGGTTGCTCTTACATCGGCAAGTTACGATAAAAAACACTTTAAAAACGATCTCATTTTATATTAAATGCCTAAATTTGAACCGTTAACCCGATTTTGAGCTCCTCTTAATGTACATGATCTCATCTGCTTATATCAAGTAAATGAAAGTTCTGCTGAAAGTCTAAAAACATTTAAATCAAACAAATTAGTTAATTTTCATATATGAAAAAGAAAAGACGAGGACAGCTTTATGCAATTTCTGTAGCTAAATAATGTTGGTTTTAATTAATTTCAACGATAAAACAAAAGTTGCTCATAGCAAAATATCATATATTCAAACACTTCGGAACATCTGGCCCACATCAGGATGTTCTTACCATTACAGAAATGTATTGTCTCCAGTGACGGGGCAAGGGGCCGTCCAGCTCCAACAAAGCTTGCTGGGTCCTCAGGAAACAGCTGAGGTAGGCCGGGTGGAGGGCCAGGACCATGGTGAGATGGTCCACACGACCGAGAGAGACAAAAGACTCAATGAGGATGTCCTGATTCGGCCCGTCTTTCAGGATCTATGGAGGAAAAACAAGGCAGACTTTTATTGGGGTTTTCCTCGCATTAAATAAAACTCTCAGTAAGCAGACTTATAAACCAAAACTAAATCTTTATGATCTTCCTCCAGTCGAAATCTCGGCATGAGTCAGATTTTGCAACACAAATGTGGTGTTGCATCTTTTTAAACTCTGCAGTGAAATGTCACTACATATCACAACTGCTAACTTCTTTAGTACATCACCCTAAGCTGCTGCAGTTTCATGCCACCAAAGCACCAAATATCTATGAAAACTTATTATTATCAGCGTTTTGTTGCAACCCCAAGTGACAGCATGTGCGAGGACATTTTGACTCTGTGATAAAAAGGACAGTTTGATATGCATATTTTTTTTATAAACCTTCAGTTAAATGCACTCATTTGTATGTCAAGGACATCATTAAGTACTTACCTCTTTAGCAGGGATAAAGGCACTTGGACCAGAAGCCAAGGCTCGAGGTACTTCAACTCCTTGGCCCTAAAAATTAAAAAATGTAACATTGTTTATTTAATCAGCAATAAAGCTGAGGATGACCTGTGGTGTGTCAAGTAAGAAGCTTCTGCAAGTTAGGCCTTCTCATTAAACTCCAAGCTAAAAAAAAAGTTCACTGTTATACACCTTAAACAATTCTGTAAAGTCGAATAAATGAGATTAAAAAACTGGGTTAGTTTGAAATTTTGCATGAAATAAAGTTAAAGCTTCTCACCAGCAGGTCTAAAATCTGGGGTTAACCCAAACCTATTTTAAGCATACTGCGTCAGAAGGTCAGACACCTACAGATGAACATGAACCCTGCTAGTTTTACCAAAAAACAAGGTTTTAAATCCCCCCTGACTCGAGCGGACAGATTATTTTGACTGCAGCAGCTGCACTGAAACCAGAGACAGCTTCAGATCAGTCCATAAAAACGAGCGTCCAACTCACCGACATCTGAACACCAGAAGACGGCTGCTTGGATCCACACTTCGAGTTAAAGCTAAGACGAAAATGCGTCAAATTCAGGGGGTGTGTCTGCTGCGTTCAGGCTTGTCCCGGGACTGACTGTTGTTCACCTCAGCCAGGTGTTGCGTCACCAACGCATTGAAGTTCGCTTCTGATTTACACGGCCCGTAAAGGGCTATTCCGCTGACTTTTAATGGCTGAACCAGTCTGACTGTTGTGCCCCCAATTGTGAATTAAAACATGAGAAATAGCTCTTTACACATCTGCACCAACAATAAAGGTTTCTCAATACACAGTATAATTTTGGCATAAGCTAATTAGGTCAAGGTTTGAAAAGCCAAGTGTTTTTTTTTTTTTTTTACTGGACTTGGATGTGTTCAAGACAAAAAAAAAGCCCATAAATTATTTTTCTATTTAAAAACAAAAATATATATATATATATTTAAAAAGTACAAAGCCATAAAAGCTAATAAAAACTTAAATTTGTCTGTTTTTTTTTTTATTTGAATGTTTATGCGTCCAACAGTTATCAGTAAATGATTGTTGCTTTTTTTAATAACTACATTTGACCATTAGTTTTGAAATTCTCTCAGAACAGCTCATTTGAACACAGTCTAGCTCCAGTCTGATTTAACTCTTCGTGGTTTGACTTCCTCTCCCAAAATGACTCTTTTTCCGTCGAGACTCGTGCTCACAGCTTTGAGACGCCGTTCATTTTCCAACCAGAGAACTTTAAATTTTCTCTTTCAACCTGGTGTCTGATTCTATCGTTTTCCTCGGGCTCTGTTTACATATGGAGATTATTTTGCTGACAATATCCGTCGTGTGCCAAAACTCTCCTAAGTGTACTAGTGTATGTTGAGATGTAAACAAGTGACTTGAAATTGTTGGCAACAAAACGCAACACTGATGATTTTTCTCATTTGTAACAAATTATGCAATAAACTTTTGGTAGTGACGATGTGTATTTAGTGGTTATTTTTTCTATAGATAATAAACATGTTAAAAAATAAATCCAACACATTAAAAATATATTCTGATAGCTACTATGGATTTAAAGATTTTACTTGTGGAGTAAAATTATTTAGTCTAGGCTCAAGCTTGAGCTAATATGGCCCTGATAAAAAATAGCATTTTCTTATTATTATTTTTGTATTTTCACAAATTTCAAAAACCAAGTTTTATAGATAAGCCTTTTAACCTAATATGATTTAGTGCTGGATTGAACAGTTGTAGTTTTGTAAATTGACCTACTGTAAAGTGGCCAGGATGCATAAAACCACAAAAAGTACTCAAAAAAAGTTTTTTATGCATTACCACAAATAAAAAAAAACAGTTTAACAAAACACAAACTGTGTAAAAAGCTGAATAATAGTACTGACTAATTTGATCCTGGTTTGAACAGTTTAAGTTGTAAACTAGGGCTGATCAGACGACTCTAAAGAAATTGGTGAAATAGCCCTTTAGCGAGCTAATCATGAGCCAACTTCAGCGCCGTTACGTCAGCTTCACCTCAGCGTCTGATGAAACCTCCAGCTGCCTGGCAGTAATCACAACGAGCCTTCAGCTCAACACAACGCTGTTCAGCAGAAAGTTGTCATCATCCATTTACTGATCGTTCGCCCGTTATGGGAATTTGACGGCAGGAGATCTCGCTGTGACTCGAACCCCCCGATAAAAACAGCTCTTCGAGCCCCAGTACCTCTCACATTACCTGTGCGGTCCGCAGCAGCTCGCTCGCCCTCACCCGAACCTCCTGCAGCGGACACGATCTGGAGAGCAGAAGCAGATGTAGAAGCATTTGTTTGCTCAGCCGTGCCGAACCGGGCCGGTCTAATCCTAAACACACCAGAACCTTCTGGCTCAGCTCCTCCAGAGCCGTGGTTCGCTCCTCTCTGTCCCGGCTGCACAGCCGAGCTGAGCTCTTCGACGTCGGGACACCGTCGGTTTCCGAATCCAACTGGTTCCGACGTGAACCACCAGAACTGCACGCCTGCCACGGGCTGTCCTCTCCATTAGCACGGCAGGTGAAGCCTGGCACTGCATTACCGGCCATGTTTTGGTTCTCCCCGTACACCTGTGTTGTGTTCAGGTACCTGTTGTTTTTCCGAGAAACGATTAACTGAACCTAAAGTTAACCATTGACGGTAACTTGATTCAAACATTAATTTATTTAACTGCAATATACTTGAGGTAGTGGTGTTTATTTTAAAATACGAAGCTATTTATTCCATAACCCAACACATCGATTAATCTCTTTCGGAACAACAGCCAAACCCCTTCTTCACATCCGGTTACTGCTACCTTACCGTGTTAGCTTTCCGGTTAGCTTTAAGCTAAACTAGCCTAGCTGCTGCTAGCTGACGCTGCTAACTTAAGTCTCGGCGCATTTGCACAGAACTCGTTTGTTCAGACGTTATGTGCCAGATGTTTCGGTTACAAATACACTTCCTGAAAACGCTGCAATCTTTCTTCAAGCATGAATGTATAGGACGCGGGCACCATTATGGCTGAAAAGTTGATGCTTCCGACCTAATGGAGAAGCTATTAGCTTCAAGCTAAAGATGTGACGTCACTATGATGCGTTTAATAACAGGTCTCCAGCCCAACTTCAAGACGCTTGTTTATCCACCGCAGACTAAACTCGGAGCAATATTTAATTTAACACTTTTATATAGTAAAATTAGGATTTTACTGCGCTTATTGATTGAACAGATTAGATGCTTGCATGCATACTTATAATAAAAATTGTGTGAGAACATTTTTTAAACGTTTTTTAACATTGTTTGATTTTTTTCAATTTAATAGAATTTACTGGGAATTTAGATTTCCATTTTAAATACTTTGGGTAATTTAATTTAATGTAATATTTTTGGTTGTATATTTTATGTTAACATTTTGTACTTCTCACATTAGGGACATGATAGTCATTCTGTCATTTTGTAGTAGTTTTATTTCTATTTCCTTTTTTTAAAACTTTATTACTGTACATTTCTTTGTGCTTTTGTTTATTTACATTTCAACTTTTAAGGGTTTCTTTGTGTGCTTTTTGATTTTCTGGGATTTTTTTTTTTTACATTTTAAAGCATAAGAACCAACTGGAAAGTATGTCTGCCTTTTTCAGTAATTTCTCTAGAATTATATAATTAGATAATATCCTTAAATATAATTTAAAAAAATTAAAGTCCTAAACTATCATTTGTGTCAAAGGGATTTAGAAGTTGTTATAAGCAGAAAGTAATTTTGTTAATTCTCTTAAATATTAGTAGCTCATTAATTATCTAAATTATTAATTTAACAAGAACTTCAGTAAATGTCTTAAAGTTTGGCCGTCTGATAACCTAAGCTTCTTTATATATATATATATATATATATATATATATATATATATATATATATATATATAAAACTGGGAGACTCAAACTTCACATTCGTGTTATTATCAATAAGTCACTGTAACTTTATTGAATTACTGCAATCATCAAAACAATGGGTTGATTGATTTTTTTTTACCTGATTCTCATTAATAACTGCACTGAAGTTTTATAAATCCTTCATGTGAGCAGAAACTTGCAGCAAACGACAGATTCTGTTGAGATTTTCTACAGATCACAACTATCTGAGAAGCCTTTTAGTGCTGAGCCTAGATGATATTTTGATTATTTAGTCAAATAAAATAACTGAGGTAGAATAAATTACCTCTGAGTTCAAAACTTGATTAAGTCTTGAACTATGTCTGCAGGAATATACATCATATACACTTCTTTATATTAGATAAACTGTATACAAAACTGTATACATGCAAAAAACAAATATTTCTCTGACATCATCTCCTCCAACTCCAGCAATCCACGTGTGCTTTTTAAAACAATCACCTCTGTTCTTAACGCCCCACAATCAGCCAGCCCAGAGAACTCCACTGAAATGTGTGACAACTTCCTGAGCTTTTTTATCAATAAGGTTTCAAGCATTAGAGCTCTCATAAGCCCTCCTTCTTACGACCCCTCCGTCTCCGTCACACGCTCTGCTGTCTTCAGTCAGTTTGAGCTCGTCACCCTGTCTTCCTTAACTGACATCACTGGTCGTATGAAACCTGCTGGATCCCCAAATGATCCCATCCCACCTCGTCTTTTTAAAGAGGTTTTTCACACCGTGGCTCCTCATGTGTCCCAAATTATAAATGACAGCTTGGCATGTGGACAGGTACCAGCGAGCTTTAAACATGCAGTTGTGACACCAATGATTAAAAAACCTAGCCTAGACCCCACAGTAATGTCCAACTTTAGACCCATCTCAAAACTGCCCTTCATATCTAAGATCTTGGAGAAAATTGTTTACAATCAGTTAACATCATACTTAAACGACCACAACCTTCTTGAACAGTTTCAATCTGGCTTTAAAACTCACCACAGCACTGAGTCTGCGCTGCTGAAAGTCTTCAACGACATTCTTTTAGCCGCAGACTCTGGTGACTGTGTAGTTTTAATGTTGTTGGACTTGACTGCTGCCTTCGACACAGTAGACCATCACATCCTCCTGTCTCGTCTGGAGAACTGGGTGGGCATTCAGGGTCCTGCTCTACAGTGGTTCAGATCCTATCTGACAGAAAGAAACTTCTGCGTGCGCATTGGTGCTGTGGAGTCCTCTGTAGCCCCTCTCACTTGTGGAGTACCTCAGGGTTCTATACTTGGCCCTCTTCTGTTTTCCCTGTATCTACTCCCTCTGGGACATCTTCTCCGGAAACATGGCATTTCTTTTCATTTTTATGCTGATGACAGCCAAATCTATGTTCCGTTAAAACAGGGCAAAGACCATTCCTTGAAACAACTCCTGGGGTGTATGGCAGAAGTCAGAGCATGGATGTCACTAAACTTTTTACATTTTAATGACAAAAAGACAGAGGTCTTGTTGTTTAAGCCTAGTGAAGGCTCCAATATCCATGCTGATCTGGGTCCTTTAACAGAACATCTGACTGAGACAGCAACTAACCTGGGCGTGAGGCTGGACAGTGACTTCAAACTTGACACGCAGATTAAATCAGTGATCAAGTCCAGCTTCTTTCATTTGAGACAACTGGCCAAGGTCAAACCATTTCTGTCACAACATCATTTTCAGATCTTAATCCATGCTTTCATCACAACTCGCCTGGATTACTGTAATTCTCTTTATGTCGGTCTGAGCCAGTCATTACTGACTCGACTTCAGCTGGTTCAGAACGCAGCTGCCCGCCTTTTAACTGGTACCAAAAAACGAGAACACATCACCCCTGTTTTAGAATCACTACATTGGCTCCCGGTTCGCTTCAGGATTAATTTTAAGGTTCTTTTATTTGTTTTCAAATGTCTTCATGGTCTCGCCCCACAGTATCTGTCCGACCTGCTCCAGCTGTACACTCCTTCTCGCTCTCTCAGGTCAGCAGATCAGCTGCTGCTGGTCGTCCCAAGGTCCAACAGGAGACTGAGAGGTGACCGAGCGTTCTCAGTCGCTGCCCCTAAACTGTGGAACGAGCTGCCTCTGCATGTCAGACAAGCTGGCTCACTTCCTGTTTTTAAGTCTTCTCTGAAGACACATCTTTTCTCTTTGGCTTTTACTTCAGTTTGAAATGTTGGTTTTAATGACTCTAAGTTATTTGTTTTATTTTATTTGTTATCTTTATTTTATTTCACATTTTTAACGTGTGGGGTTTTTATGTTTTTGTATGTCCTAGTGTACAGCACTTTGGCCAACAGTGTTGTTTTAAAGTGCTCTATAAATAAAGTTGTATTGTATTGTATTGTATTGTATTGTATACAGTATGTGCATGTCTGTTTTGTTGTTTAATTAGTGACAAAATCATTTCACAAACAACTTTGTTTACTTCCTGAATCACCTTTATTTAGGAAAATAAACATCACTTGTGAATTCTTCTTATCAGACACAAATTTTATATTAATTTACCTGTAAATGTATATAACTTCTTGTGTGGAGCGTAAAGGAAAGAGTAAAAAAAAGTAAAGATGACAGGAACAAACAGAAGTGAAGGTGACGTGTGGCTCTGTTTGACGTGACACAGGCTCTGTGGCAACCGTCTCCCTGTGACATTAACACACAGGCGAGCTTTGGAGGACAACCTCTGGAGAGCTTGTCTTCATCGAGGCGTGTCCTGAGACTCCGTGGAGGAGCTTGGAAGGGAGGGTAGAAGACAGCAGGTGGTTTGGAGTTTCTGGAGAGCTCAGGTGAGTTTGGATTTGTGCACCCAAACTGGTCCTTCTTCAGTAATTTCCTGAAAGTCAAAAGAACCGTGCAGAGTGTGTGCTTGTGTGTGTGAGCGGGTGCAGATTTGAAGGGGAGAGGAGGAAGTGAGTCTTCAAACAATCTTTTTCTCCAGCAAGGCGATCCTCTTTGACATACTCTCTAGTGAGATTGAGTCAAGGTCACCAATGGAGACAATGAAAGTCAATAAAACATGTTATCAGTCCCTCCCTTTTATCATGTTCCCCCCAGTTTCAGTTTGTAAAGGATATATTTTTTGTTTAGTGCCTGCAGGGCGGCTTCCACTTTCTTTTGGAACTTTACGAGGGAGTCACATTCACAGGGGTCCTCTGTGGAGAAAGACAAACGCAAGTTCAGCTTTTGGTTTACCAGCTGGCGAACAAGTTTTGTTTTTAATTTGAAAAATATTCTTACCGCAGACGTTAATCTGCAGCTTCTTGGCGATCTGGTTCATGGTCTTGAAGTCGGCCGTGTAGAAGTAGTGCTCTGCTGTCGGCTCGGAGGCGATCGTCTTCAGCTCGCTCTCCACTGCGCTCCCCACTCCAACAGCGTACATCTTCACGCCTTCAACACACACGCATTCCCTGTCAGTGTGTATTTACTCGTGGATTTAGAGGTTATCTTCAGTCTCTTTCTTACCAAGCTCCTTTGCCTTCTTAGCAGCGTCTCCGATATAATCCTGGCTGCGTCCATCAGTGAAGACAATGCCGATCTTTTGGACTCCGGGCCGGGCGCCGTGAGAGAGGCTGAAGCTGTTCTCTGTCATGTGACTCAGAGCGTGGCCCGTCATGGTTCCCTTCTCCATGTAGTCCATGCTTTTCACAGCGTCCTTCACATCCTTCTTGTTGTTGTGTCGGCCCAGGGGAAACTCCTGTGGAGGACCAGAACCGGGACCTTGTAGATGAATTAGGAAACAAGTGGCTCATCTCATTAGGATTAAAAACGGACTCGTACCGTTTTGACAGTGCTGGAGTACTGCACGAGTCCAACGTGAGTCTTGCTCTCGGAGACGTCCATTTTGTCGACGATCTGGTTGATCCACTTCTTGACCAGCTCGAAGTTCTCGGGCCGAATGCTCTTGGAGCCGTCGATCACGAACACCACGTCTAACGCTGCATTGCTGCAAGCAGCTGGTGTCAGCCAACACACACAGTGGAAGATCTTAAAGTGACCGCACAAACATCACACGTGTACAAATGCATTCACACACACACTCACCAGTGCAGCTACGACCATCGTCCGATAGGGTAAAGCCTTCTTTGCAGGCACACTTGTATGATCCCGGGGTGCTGATGCATACCTGCTCGCAGTCGTGATCTCCAGTGGCACACAGGTCCGACACTGTGTGTGCGCGTGAACACACACGGACACACAGTGGCATATGTAAAGATGCAAACACACACACAAGGAGGGGAGGGATTGGTTGGGGTTAGGAGATAAACAGATTTTTTTTTTTTAATGATCCACATTAACCTGCAGCTGACTGGTTTATTTTTATTAGGGATGCACGATATTGGATTTTTGGCCGATATCCGATATGTAAAAACTTATTTGGCCGATAACCGATATCAATACCAATATTTTTCCCATAGACCTACTTACAGAGACTACATAGCTTTCACTGCTGTGAAATTAAAATACTACATTATTCTGCACGGTCTTTGTCAGTTTGGCCTGCTACCAAATGCAGATGCCAAAAAGGGGCTGAAAATGATGTAACACTTCAACTTGGATTATGTTTCATGTCAAATTTCATGACATTTACTCTCTAACACAATGACAACACTCAAACAGTGCAAATTTATACATTTTCACAAATCTAAACTCAACGGCGTGTGTGATGTCATAATGTACTGGCGCTGCAGGCATCCTCGTCATATATATATATATATATATATATATATATACAGCACCTTTTATATCGGTGAGTTATTTTGATGGAATGGCCGATGTCCGATATTTAACTTTATCGCTAATATCGGCCGATACAGATACCATGCTGATAATATCGTGCATCACTAATTTTTATGTTTTGGTTTGTTTTTGAAGTGAGGTTTGGTTGGGCACTTATGAGCAGTCAAGAAAACACAGTTGAGCAACTAATGATCACAATCGCTTAAGAAGAGCTATTTTTTGTTATTTCAAATAAATACCTTGCATTTTAACAAATGCCATGTTGTGACATTTTAATCTGCACCACAGGCCTTTTTGCAACGCAGTAAATAAATGCAAAAGTGATGCAGTAAAAATCCACAAATCCTCTGATTCTTCAGACAGAAAATGTTCTGATGGACTGCCGAGGCCTTCACACAACCCCACTACAAAAAATAATAAATTAAAATATAATCTATCCCTTTAATGTGTGATTATAACAGATTCAAGTGGATCCTTAAAACCACCAGGTGAAAAAGATTGGAGTAGCCTGACACGAATAACCAATTTCTTTCAATTCTGTAAAGTTCTGTTTAATCGTGCACTTTGAAACATCTGCAGAGAGACCAGCCGCTGCAAAGCGAGCCAGCAGTGGCTGTTATCTCCGACTGAGAGAGCCGAAGGGCACGACTAATTACGTTTTAACGATTGTCACTAATAAATGGGTAATTACAGACGGCTCAGTCTCGCCTCTGTGAGAGCTGAGTGAAGAACAGGAGCAACTTTTGTTCCAAAAGATTGTCTCTGCCCTCGTGTCCTCGTGCTCTGCGGGGTTTAACTCCGTTTAAAATGACTGGAGGAATTCATGACCGTCTTGTTGAGGACGACATGGAGGACACAATAATTGGAATAAAAGATGACAGCCCTGTCACCTTACCCTCAGAATGGGGGGATGCATCTCCACCAAGATGAAGACATGAACATTGTCCCATTCTAGTTGTTTTTGATCTTTTCTGCTCTTTTTGTACTGTCCAGTGTCCTCCTCTCCCTCTTACCACAGAAGGCCTCCTGAAACTTCTTGGTGAGCTTCTCTATGACGCTGTAGCTCTCCACGTAGTCCACATGGTCGTCCAGAGGATCGCTGGCCATCTGCCTGAGAGTGGTCATGTCCACACGTCCCACACCAATGGCAAAAATCTCAATGCCGGCGTCTCGTGCACGCTGGGCCACGTCCTTCACGTTGTCCTGTGGACGCCCATCTGTCACAATAATAGCAACCTGGGGAAGACATGTTTGAAAATAAACTGTCCGCAGGGTGAGTTCGTTGTATAAATGTTGTAAAATGTATGCTGGACCTTGCTGATGTCAGGAGATTTGGCCCGAGCGCCCTCCGCCTCGCTGAAGGCCACGTTCAGGGAGAACTGGATCGCCAGACCGGTCATGGTTCCAGTGGACAGAGGCTCGATTTTAGTCACGGCTTTGACCAGCCCAGCTTTGGTGCGGTGAGTCTTCAGGGACACCTGCAGTTCCATCACAGTACACATAAAGCTGGGATAGGAGAGAGCTGGAAAAAGTAGAGAAGACGACGTTTAAATGGCGTCCGTACCTCGTTCTTGACGCGGCTCGCATAGTTGACAACTCCGACACGGGTGGCGTTGGGTCCGACGTCCAGGCCCTCGATGACTTTTGCCAGGAAAACCTTTACTTGTTCAAACTCTGACGGGCGAACGCTGCGACTGCTGTCAACGATGAAGACGAGGTCCGTGGGGCGAGTTTTGCACAAACCTGCCGCTGCAAGAACAGAACGGGAATTACTTTTTTAATCATCCTAATGAATCATTTGCATTGAATACATCTTTTAAATAATAATGCTAATCTAAAACAATAAAACAAAGGAGCTAACGTGGGAGGATGCTGGGTGGGACAAACAAGGTACAGAGGCAACAAAACTCAAGAGCAGAAGAAATAAAAGCAGCAACAGAAATAATACAAATAACTTATTTACTGATATCTGCTGATTCAGTCCAATTAAAAATAAAATTCTGAAAACAGCAGATTTTAAGTTAAGTTTTTATCAAGTACAAATAAAAGTAGAGCATCTAATTTTGCTTAAGAGCTACAAATCTTATATAATCTACATTAACAGGACTTAATTTAGTAAAAATACAAATAAAAATGATTATTTTCAGCACCAACATTTATCACTGTATGAACTCATTAAAATATACTAAATCTGATTAACATCACAGATTGGGCTTTGTATCCTTCAGGTCTTTCCCTCCCTTCATTATTTCCTCCCATTCCTAAAACACAAACCAGTAACGGCTGCTCCATCTGCAAGATGACTTCCAAATGTTACTAATGAGCTATTTATATCAAAGAAATGCTTAAACATCAAACCTGGCTTTTCAAATAACTTCAAATGTCAAAACAGATTATTGATACACATAAAACTAGATCGTAAAAAAAATTTGATTGAAAACATTTTTTTCTTTACCTTAACCATGATTGGTTAATATTTTTAGGAGTTTTACTTTTTGTTTAAATCAATTTTTCCTCTAAATCAATAAAAGATTTGAACGTCAGACCCTTTTCAGATTTGATAAAAGAGAGTTTAAAGGAGTTCATTTGTTGAAACAAAAGCTGATTCAATTTTTTTTAGGAAGTGTACATCTAAATTTTATTGTTCCTAAAGTTTAATTTTGAGAACGTAAAAAACAAAATCAGTTACCAAAAGGAGACAAAGTTTAATAACTTTGTCTGAGCCACGAGCCTCTTTCAGCTGCTACATTAACTCGAGTCAGAGACCTGATATATTTTCTTGGTTACAGGTTCATCAACAAGAGTTTGATCTGTGTCACTTGTTACTCTTTCTACATCAGCAGCAATAATGACAAATGATCCAACCATCTTTCTGGCTTCAAAGTTAGCCAGCAGGCAAGAGAAGACTACATTAAATGATGTATTTATCAGTTTTTTAAAGAAAAAATTAGAAGAGTTACAATATTTTACATATAATTATCATCTTGGGGGACCAGATTTGGCCTGCGGACCTTGAGTTTGACATATAGGGGTTAAAAGGTCATTCTTACCCATAGCGGCGGCCATACGATTGTCTATGGTGGCCTGAGTTCCCACAAGGCCGAGAAACAGCAGGAAAAGCGGCAGGGTGGGTGCCATGGTGACTGCTAAAGGTGGGGGTCCGAGTGCGGCCGCAAGACGAGGGTCCGAGGGTGAGAAGCAGAAAGGAGACAGAGCGGGATGGAGGAGGTTCCAGGTGATGGGGACAGCCACAAAGTGAGACCGAGTGACTCTGAGCTGCAGGTTATCAATGCAAGAGCCTCACACACACTGCCCACAAACAACACCCCCCACCCCCCCGCTGCCACAGTGTGTGTTCCTGTGTGTGCGTGCGTCTGTGGGAAAGAAAGGGAAATACCTGCTCTGGGAGGACCTAAAGCAGCGGGCAAGGAAAGACAAACACACCTCAATACAGCTAGGATGTAAGTGTGTGTGTGGAAATCGGTGTACAGTACGTGTGTGTGTGTGGCTGGCTCGGGGTACAGGAGCAACGGGGGTTTGGTGCAGAGCAAGTGCCAACGCTGCTGACCCCAAGTTGGATTTGGCCAAATTTCAAATAAACACCAACATGAATTCGTCTTTTCTCCTCAAACGCACCTTTATGGGGCGGAAGTAAAGCAGAGGCAGCAGACACAGCCCGCACTGTTCCTGCCGTTCTGCATGATGGGATACCTTAGTTTTTTTTTAATGTTTTTTATAAACTGAAGCATACAAGCCATTTCCTGACTTTTTCTGTTTGTGGAACATAATAAGGAGCTTTTAGTGATTTTTTTTTTCTGCTGCTTTTCTCACATTCAGATTGTTTTTAAAGCTGTACACTAAAAGATGCCTAAAGTTTTATTTAAAAAAATCTGTTTGAACCTTTTCTTCTCATCTCCTCCATCACTGTCATTTAAGGCAGAGAGGGCCCCATCAGAGTCAACAGAGCCGCATCAACAAGCTCATATACACGCCTCTAATCTAACTACAGAGTCCACATACATTCAACAGAGACCCCACTTATCCCGCTCCACCCGACCTGCTCTACCCTGCATTCCTCCACAAACGCCCCCTCCACACACACAAGCGAGGTTTAAGGCACTCACTGTACAGTAACTAGCAGCACTTCTACTGAACAAGTTGCAGAGTTCACTGGAAAGTGGTGTGGACAAGATGTTTTTCCAGTACATCGTGTGATCTTTAGGGATGAGCTGTTTCTCTTTAAGGAGGACACAACATACTCATACATGCATTGGTGTAAACAGTATAGAGGAAAATGCACGCACGCACTGAGGTTATGTAACTTTGTTCTCTTGGCAGCGTGGACTAAAAACACACACTCAAGCTGTGAGGACCCACCTGCATCCATCAGTATGTCGAGGATGGTAAAACAGGATTTTATGTCCAAAGATTATTGCAACAACTTACTGGTTATGTAAATTTGACCTGATGAATAAATCATTTAAAGGAAAATCAAAACATTGCATCAAATTGCATCTTTATTTATTTTTGATAATACAAATCAATTTTGATGTTGATTCTACTTTTATCTGAATGTTTCATTGAGTCTCTTAACTTTTACCTTCATCTGTTGGTTTGGATTTTTAACGTGCAAAAACAGGAGCAAACTCTCGGGGATTGATGTGCCGCGAAACTGCTGGCATAGCCCTACACAAGGTGAGGTCAGTGAACAAGGCCAGGCTGATTCTGGCAGATCCTGATCATCCCTCCACTGTGAGTCCAGGTTGCTTCAGATGTAGCAACAACAGACTGAAAAACTCATTCATCCCTGTAGTGATCAGGCTTTTCAACAAACTGATGATTTCATGTTGTTATTTTAATGTGTTAACACAGGGGTATAAAACTTAATTACAAAAGGGGGCCGAAATTAAAACCTTTTTCAAACTAAGGGCCAATTTCAGAATTTACATTAACTCAAGTTAAATACCCAACATATTTTCTTGGTTGCAGGTTCCTCAACAAGAGTTTGATTGGTCTCATTTGACATTCCCTGCTGCACTTTTGACATCATAATCAAAGATTACTGAAAAAATTCAAGTGACAAAAGTATTTTAAGTTTAACATATCATCTTGGGGGACAGATAAGATGTCGATGAGGGCCACATTTGGCCCCCGGGCCTTGAGTTTGACACATGTGTGACTTAATGTCTTGTCTGGGTGTTTCATGTGCCTACTGACTGTGAAATAAATTGCTCCTTGGGGATAATAAAGATTCTTAAACTTAGACTTGACTCAAGCAGCAACAAATTTAATTATAAAAAAAAAGAGTGATTTAAAGCCAGCATTTTAACATAAATTAGCTTTTCACATGAAAATACTAATTTTGTTTTTCTTTCTCTAGGTATTTATACTAAAGTGAAAATCTTTAGTTTTTAAAGTGGATTTCTGTGTGAGTGAACTAGAGGGTTAAATATATTTGACTCTACTAAAAATAATGTGGTTTTTACACTTTGTAAAAAAAATAAAAATAAAAAAAAGAACGTTATTAAAAGTTGTACAAGCCCAGGAACTAAAAGGTTGTGGCCGTAGGTCTTTTGTTGAAAAAAACCAAGATAGTCTTTTTTATTATTATTATTATTATTATTATTATTATTATTACTACGTACCTACTCTTCTATTTAATGCCAGCAGCAACCTCTGGAGAAGTTTGAACAAAGAAAGTTTAGAATGAGACTGTTCTCTGCTAAGAATAATAAAAGAATTGCTGTAATTAAAGGTTATTATTTGGTAAATGAGCCCCAAAGAGGCAGATCTGTGTGCGCCCATAATTTTATAAAATCAACATTTCATAAAATAAAACGGCTAGAATTCAAGTATTTTATCTACTACAGTTCTGGATCATTAGATTTCACTTAAAGCATTTTTGAAAACAATAACGAAGATATTTTTAGACACTTGTGAAGCTGTAAATTAAAGAGATTCATTTCTGTGGTGAAAATCCCGGGATGGGCTTGTGTACAGTCAAAAATAAACACTGAAGACAAACAGTTTGTTACTGCATCTGTAAATGAGAGTTAAAGCTTATTTTGCAGAGGAGCAACCTTTTTCAGACACTGCTGAGCTCATTTAAGACTTCTCCCAAACTGGCCTGTGGTCTGACAACGATAAATTTGAACATCAGTTCTGGAAACCAAAGCCTGCTTGGAGACGGACCATCCAGCTCACCAGAACACAGTTAAAAGGCAGCATCAATGGTTTCATTGGTTAACTTGAAATAGCATTACTGGTAATAACAAAACAACACTTGATGCCGTTCAGATGACGATTATTTCAGTATAAAGATGTTGCTTAAATAACTGACGGACCATAATAGAACAACAGCACGGTCCTGTAAACAACATCTGGGCACTGAACTGGTCTCCCTGCATTGCAGACATGCTACACACTGAAAACATCGAAACTCTAACATAATTAAAATGGTCTGAACATTTGAGGTGGTAAATAAAACAAGGAAGATACGATTGTTATTTCACCATAACGGACCGGCACAGAGTTCACAATATTGTAGAAGTTGTCATCACTCCATTCCTCCCTCACATGTGAACAAAAGCCCAATATACCCTACTGAGGCAGTACCTCACCCCCAAATCAGAAGGATAGTCTACTCTTTGTCGACTGAGGACCATGGCCTCAGATTTGGAGGTGCTGATCTTCATCCCAGCTGCTTCATGCCTGGCTGCATAATAATAATCCCGACGACTAATCTTTGCCATTTTTTGTTCACACCACTGGCTGCTAAGAGCCCTTAAACTTTTTTCAAGAACAATGAAACCATAGTAGTCCCTTGCTACTTCGCGGTTCGTTTATCACGGATTCGCTCTTTTGCGGTTTTTCAAAGTAAGAATGGACATGACGCACAATTGGCTGACTGATGGATGAGCTGCACGACGGGCATGGATTTTTTTCTATCCATCCATCCATTTTCTTTACCCGCTTATTCCATTTTGGGTCACGGGGGTCGCTGGTGCCCATGTCCAGCAATCACTGTGCGAGGGGCGGGGTACACCCTGGACGGGTTGCAAGTCCATCACAGGGCCACATGGAGACAAACGAGACAAACAAACATTCACTCTCTCACTCACACCTAGGGACAATTTAGAGTTACCAGTCAGCCTAACATGCATGTTTTTGGACTGTGGGAGGAAACCGGAGTACCTGGAGAAAACCCACGCATGCACGGAGAGAACATGCAAACTCCACCCAGAAAGGCCCCTGGACCGGGGTTTGAACCAAGGACCTGCTCGCTGAGAGGCAGCAGCTCTACCAGTTGCGCCACCGTGCTACCCGGATTTTTTTCTAATTAAAAATAAATTATTTTAAATTATTTAGCACATGTGCAGGGAGAAGCTCCTTCCTGCAGCATGTCATGATCTCCACTCTGCAGCAGAGTAGTGGGCGTGGCCAAGAGCGCTGGCAGGTGGAAGAGAGCGCAGAGATCATGACATGCTGTGCTCTTATAGAACATTTAGTTTGGTTTTTCACTTATTGGAGGTGGACTGAAAACAGAAACCGCCACAATAAACGAGGGACTACTGTATTTGGATAATATTTAAATGAACTTGTTTCTGTAAATATTACAAATTAAAGTAATGAATGAGGCATGCCTGCTTTCTGCCTTATGAGCTTAATTCTTTTTCCCATTCACTGTTTATTTACCTGATAGCAAAAATAAGTTAAAGGTCAAATAAAAATAAGCGGTTTATTTGTATTTTTAAAAACTAATAAAAGGAAATTTTCCTGTAAGCCTCTTTTTTTCTGCCAAGCCAGACCACTCTGCAGGGTTTAATTTAGAAGATATTCATCATAACAGTTCTGCCAGTTTGTTCAAATACGAGCACAACAGGCTAAAAGCAAACGGTCACACTGAGTGGCTTTAAGTAAGGCAACATTTAAATATTTAACACCAACAAGGTTAGGCAGCATATTTTATAAAACCACTGAAAACATCTGAATACATGAATTTATTTTATCCCAAGCAGGTGTTCGATATCTTCTTTTTCTTCCTCAAAAACCAACAAAATTGTTCTTTGGTTTAAACCAAAGCTATTTGAAACAGTCAAACACCTGGAGGATCTCCATGTTGTTCTGCCAACATCAGTGAATTCAACCAGTTATATTAATAAACCGATTTCACCTAAATCAATAAACACCCTTTCTTGATTCAATCAATCTGGTTTACTTGATCCCCCCACCCCACCCCAGCCCAGCCCAGCCT